CGCTTGAAGGGCTCAATGGACGTGAGTTTAAGCAACTCTCGATGCGGATAAGTAGGGTAGCTAGTTCTTCAAAGGTGAATTTCTGGATTTTTGATACCTTTTTTAAATGAGTTTTCAAACTTTTTACTCCGGCTTCCCATAGTCCACCCATATGTGGAGCTCCGGGAGGGTTGAAGTGTCAGTTGACGTTTTGATGGGTATAACTGGCTGTGACTTCGGTTTTAAGGATTTTTACAAATTCTCGTCGATCTTTGGCTAATAATTGTGAAGCTCCTACGAAGTTCGTTCCGTTGTCTGAGTAAAGATCGGCGGGGCATCCGCGCCTGGAAAAGAAACGTGCGAATGACGCCAAAAACGCTTGTGTCGTAAGATCGCTAACGGGTTCGAGGTGTATTGCCTTGTTTGCGAAGCAAACAAATACACAGATGTAACCTTTGGTTATTAGACATGCTCTTCCATTGTAATTCTTGATGTCATAGGGTCCAGCGAAATCAATTCTTGTGGCGGCAAATGGACGGGTTAGGGTTGTCCTCTCCGCTGGAAGTGCTGCCATTATTTGTGTTTGGTGTTCTTTCTTGTGCAATATACAAGTTTTGCAGTTATGGATCATTGCTTTTATGAGGGTCTTTAACCTTGGAACCCAGAATTCTGTTCGAATGAGTCGCAAAACTAGTTGATTTCCACCATGTAGGGTTATTGAGTGAGTAAATCTGGCCAGGAGCTTTGCCATATGGCTGCTATAGGGTAATAAAATCGGATGACGCTCGTTGTATGATAATGCCGCGGAATTGCTTAATCGGCCATCAACTCGCATCATTCCATTAGGATCAATTGATGGTTTAAGTGTCAGTAGTGAACTTTTCTTGGGTATTTGGGACTTTCGGGTCAAAGCGTCATATTTGTCCGTGAAATGAGTTTGTTGGGTCAAAATAATCAGCTTCATTCGTGTCGCTTTAAATTCGTTAGGAGTTATTTCTCGGCTTGGGTAGTGCGTTTCACGTCTCCTGGGTGATGCATTTGAGCAAAACCTGAATAAATACGCAATTACACGAATGGCTTTGGGTAGTGAGGAGAATCTTTCATGGATGTCCTCTTGGGTTGTTATTGCGAAAGTCTTTACAGGTTTGGCTT